ATTTGTGTAAGTGCAAGTGCCTTAAATAAAGAAATAAGAAAAGGGGCTCTAAACTAATCACTAGACATAGAAACCCAGGCCTGTGTTTCTTTCCTAACCTCCTCCTCCCTTATTGTGGTACTTGTTCAGTGGCTAAAGTGACTGCTGCCAAGCCTGACAATCTAAGTTCGATCCCTGGGCCTCATTTGAAGGTGAGAACTGACTCTTTCTAGCTGTCCTCTTACCTCCCACCTCCACACACGCATCGCAGCACCCTCACACCTACACACGCAAAATAGGTAAGGAGAAAAAAATTGTTTAAAACCCAGAAAGGTTAAAACAAAAGAAAAAAAAAAAACAAATTTCATCTCTTCCACTTGTGATCATCCCATTATGCAAGTCCCTCCTTCCCACTGAGGAAGCGGTCCTTTTGGAGAACTGACAGGGCTCAGTTAGCACGCTGTGCAAAAGGCAGGTGGGCAGTGGCATTGTCTGTGCCTGCAAAGGGCCAGCACAGCACTCGGAAACACCAACTCCCTGTGAACGAGGTGTAGGAGAAGGCTCTGCCCTGCTACCATCCACACTACAGCCTCCATTCTTACACACCCAGGTACCAGCATCTCTCCAATACCATTTTGAGATGGGGGATGCGCCAGGCCTCTGAGGAACCCAGAAGCTGGCTCTATGTCAATTCTCACCTCCCTCCCTGTGGCTGCCTGGCACATCAGGAGGCTGCTTGCAGGCTGGGCTCTGGTGACTGACTAATCAAGCAAGCGTCCCTGCTGCTATGGGGCTGCTTCAATCAGGGGCACGCCGCCATGGGGAGGCATTATTAGCTGCACCCGCACTGGGGCTGGCAGAGTGGTCAGAGGAGGAGCATGGGGCTGCTCCGTGCCTACATTTGTGTGTTCCTTCTGGCTGGGGCTGAGACCAAGCTCTTGTGGGTTGGACCTTGAGTCTGAGTGGCAGCCAGTTCTCTACCATGCCCCAAGGATCAAGGGAAGAGGCCTAAGCCCAAACTTGGTCCTCTTCCCAGGCTGGGAATGTGACCTTCAGTTAGGAGATCAAGAAACTACATGGGCTGAGGGGAAAGGATGCCCAGTGGCTAGGGGAGGCCTTCTAACCCAGTAAGACTATCAGGATAGCCTTTCATTTTAATCTACAGAGGAAGGCCAGGCTTATATATGGGTTCAATCATGAGCTCAGGAGTGCAGCTTTCTGGTATTGAATTCTGGGACTGCCACTTGCTGACTTTGTGTTCTTGGGCAGTTGCTTCATCTCTGCCTTGCCTATCTGTAAAATGGGGAAATGGCTGATCTTGTTTATACCAGAAAGGGTGTGACAATCAACTCAAGGCAAGATGCACCAAGCAAGTGTCTAGCAACCAAAATGTATACATTCTAAAACCTTAGCTGCTGCTACCTGCAACAGAAAGTGCCAGGTGGAGACTTCCTGCCCAGACTTCTACCCACCCTGAAGGAATTTCCTCAAGGTAGGAGGCTGTTCTATGACCCTGTCTTCCTCAGGCCCTTCCACCTGCCCTAGCTCCAAGATGCTGAAGAGTTTTTTAAAAAATTCATGAGATTCACTAGCCAAATTAGAGAAGAAAAGAAATGGCTTTGAGAACTATGGTGTGCCTTTGAGTCAGTGGTTGGCTCCTCACCAACTCCTTAACTCACTCCATAGTTATGAATTAAGTCTGGTGAATGCCAGGTGCATGCCACTGAGCCAAAGGTCCTGGATTCAAGGCTGAGCCCCATCGGATCTGCAAATGTGAGAAAGTGGGCACACAGGTACACTGAGGGGCGATGGCAGGGGTTGGGGAGGTGTACTTTCCAGTTTCATAGCACAAAATAGCAAACTCTCCTAAGTCCCTTTTAGCAACTGCCTCAGCTTAGAGGTCTTTCGGTTCTCTGTCTTTCTGGGTGGCTCATAGTACCTGCTTACATGCATTTCCCTTCTTGGTGAATTCAAAAGCAACTCAGGTACAAGCTCCCCTACCAACTCCCTTTCCCTCCTTTAAATTCTACCTTTCTTCACTGAAGAAAAGGCTTTCAGGATGGTGAAGCCTCCACCCCGAGGCAAACTCGATATGAAGCCCTTTGTTCATGGCAGTACACCTAGCCTTCAACAACCCAGGGAAGTGGCAGGCTTAGCTCTGTTTGCTGGGGTTCGGTAACCTGACTCTGTCCCTGCTCCCCAGAACCTCTGGTTCCACCTCTGGAATTTCCGCCGACACCCCAAAGTCTTGGATCTGAACTACTCCGTCCCAATGCTTTTTCCCTTTCTCTGTCTACTTCCAATTTTGCTTATTTCTTACAGAGCCAGCACAGCCCCGGATTAAAAGAAGACAGGCATTTTATACTAGAGGCATCCCAAAGACATCAGTTACCATCAAGTCAGAGCCACCGACGTGAAGAGTGGCACTGATGCATGGGAGAAGCCTGGGGAAGTGGCTGCCCCTCTGGCTCCTAGTCAGCACGCCCTTCCCCCCTCCCCTGGTCATCTAGGGGATTACCCTCTCACCCCGCCCTCAGGCAAGACTCTACACAGCTCATTGAAAAGCCAGGAAGCTCAAAACCTATGCTCAAGACCCTTCACTACGGGTAGCCCTGAGACCAATCTTGGGCCTCAGTTTCCCGACTGAGACAAGAAGATGATAAAGCCTTTGCCATCCCGTATCATAGGCTTATTTCAAAGTCTACCAGTAGTGGCACTGGGCTTTATCTCTTGCCTTCATTGTGCCCTTCCCAACAAACTGCTGGGAATGCAGGAAGGGGATTTGTCCGCATCCTCTGCTGGCCCTGCCACCTCCCTGATGGCCAACAACCTCTCTCAGAGCCTGTCAACAACAAGCTCGGGAGAGGATCGGCAAGGCTGCACACAGATGGAGGTCCCCCTAAGGTGGGGAGGGAGGCGTCGCCTAGGAGGCAATGGCACCTGGAGGACAAAGCCTAAGAAAGAGCCTGTGCTGTGCATCTCGGCCTATCTCCCTCACACCACGTCAATGCCCGTGCAGATGCCTCCAACATACACTATGCAGAGAAAGACTATTTTCATTTCGGATGCATACGATGGCTAGGAACAATATGAACAATATTATTTTAGTGCCCTGGGAAAAAATTAGCAAGTCAAATATTGAATCAAGCCTGTAGCACCACATGCTAAGCAGATTGCTTTGATCTTATCCACACTAAAAGCTCTATTATTGAATCTAAAGTTGGTGAACACATATCAGACCAATATACAATGCATATCTGAATGCATGTTTCAGAAGCAAGGAATGTTTTGACAAAAGGGAGAAGGAATATCAAAGTCACAGCTGCGGTCGGAGCACACTTTTGCCTACCCACCCTCTTCTCTCTGGGCCGGAGCCTTTGCTGGCCAACCAAAATGTTTGTGCTCTGGGGGACCTGCAGATGAGTCCAGAAACACCTGCTGAGTGCTCTCTCTCTCTCTCTCTCTCTCTCTCTCTCTCTCTCTCTCTCTCTCTCTCTCTCTCTCTCCAACAAATGAAGGGGGTCTGTCACCCCACAGTCAACTTGAGAGGAGTGTGAGAGAACGAGCCGGCAGACACCACACAGGGCACGGCACCCTCTGGTGGTCAGTTCTGTGGGAGGACTCTGACTCTACAGAATTCCAGGAGTGGAAACACCCCACCTCCTGAGGCTTCCTCCACCAGGAGGAACAGCTAAGGAAAGGGAAGGAGGCAGCTAATTATGAGGGCAGAAAGAGAAACAGTTCGGCAAATCTCCTATCTAAGATCTGCTCCTCCAGGGCCTTCCATCAAAAGCATGGCTGGAGGACAGCACATACCTTCAATGGAGCACTCAGGAGGCAGGGGTAGAGCAGCTCTGAGTTTGAGCAACCCCCCCCCAAAAAAAAAGCATGGTTGAAATCAGGGCGCTGCAAACTCCAGCCTGTGGAGCATATGCAGCACGCCCTGCCTTTGCCTGTTTTTTTTTTTTTTTTTGTTTGTTTGTTTTTATATTATTTGAGAATGTTCTTCTATATCATTAAATGGTTAAAATACAAGAGAGATGAATATGCAGCAAAATGCTTGCCCTGAATGTTGGATTCTGTGTTGGAGGGAAGGAGAGAGGGGGTACCATGATCCACCTACAGGAAATTCACGTATGTAGGGCCTGTGGACACGCTTGCATTACAACACAGAGTGGTTGCGATGTTCAGACGAACAGCTCCAAAAACTAGTAAAAAAACTATGGAGGGTAGCCTAAATACTTACTATTTGGATTTTTTTTGTTTTTGTGTATGTGTGTAGGGAAGGCAATGTGTGTGACTGTGTGTGGGGAGTGCACATGTGTACAAACCAGAAGACCATCCTGGGGTTCTTCCTCGGATGTGCCCCCCTCCCACTCCATCTCCTTAGAGCCTCTCACTGGCTCAGAACTCATCAACTAGTGTAGGCCGGCTGGCTAGTCAGCCCTGGGGATCTGCCTGCATCCGTTTCTGCAGTGCTGGGGTTCTAAGAACGCACCACCGTACCCAGTGTTTTTTATAGGGCTTCTGAGGATCAAACTTGGCCATGTAGCCCCGGCTGTCCTGGAACTCACTACCTATACCCAGTTGACCTCAAACGCACAGAGATCTGCCTGCCTCTACCTCCCAAGTGTTGGGACTAAAAGCATGTGCCACCATTATGCCTGGCCTATTTTTGGCTTTTTGAGGTATGGTTTCACTACATAGTCCTGGCTGGCCTGACATTCACGCTGCAGGCCAGGCTGGCTTTGAACTTGTGGAGATCCTCCTGCCTCAACCTCTTAAATGTAAGTACTGGTATTACAGATGAACATCATTACTTCCAAATGGCCCTTCACTGAAAGAGTTCATTGGCTACTGTTTCTCACAACTGCTACCAATAACAGGGCTGAACTCTTGACAGCCTCGTCCTCATACCACTTCCTTGTCTACTGAATGCATGACACTGATACTGCAGTCACTCACAGGCATGTGACACAGGGAAAGGGCTCCCTATTCCAGGACAATCCCTCCAGACTTACCATTTTATTATTGATTTCATGGAAATGAATCTCACAGACTTTCTCCACAACGTCTTCATTCTCAAAAGTGACAAAGCCAAACCCTAAAGAAAGAAGAAACAGAAAGGAGGTGTGAGTTTGGTTTCTGCAGGATGTGCAGGGTGGCCTGCAGTCAGGACAGGTTCCAGATGGGTGGGGGGGGGGAGGATCGGGGAGGAAGATGGAGGGGATGGGAATGTTGTGATCTCAGCAGTGATTCCAATTTGTACCCAACACCCTTCCAACAGTGAGGCAACAGTCAGGATTCCACCCACATGCAGCAGGCACCGTGTGGCTTACATTTGCCCCGAAGCAAACAAGAAATATACTTGTCTGTTATTTACAAGGGTCTGGCTCTGTGCAGAGGCACGCTTGTGGGCTACAGAGAGCCTCTTGGATCTCTGCAGGGCCTTGCTGGCCCTTTCTGTGAGCTTCGATGGCGGGCCCTCGGGTCGGCCTCCACGCGGAGGCGGTTATTGGTCCTTTTCTTCCTGAATGACTTCCTCTAATACCTCATCAGGACATCCTGAGGCCTGTAAGGAACTATTAAAAGTTGTAGGCCTCTGTTCTGTGCGGGCATCCTTTTGCTACTGCCGCTTCAAACACACTGTGGATTTGGGGCAGTTTAAGACTGTCTGATGCCTGCTGTCAGCCCGTCAGCTATCCACTGTATTTACTCGGCTGGAGGCCGGCTTTACTAGACAAGCTGCACTAAAGAATTTTGGCAGGCGACTGCCGCTCAGCATCCTGCGTGCCTCTCTCCACCCTCCTGCCCCTTCCTTTCTTCTCTTTCCACCCCCAACAGCGTTTCCAGTATGTGTCCACATCTGTGACCCTACTCAGTAAGCACCAGGGTACCACGTGGGCCCACACATGGTGGGTCTACCACCTTGCATTGAGTACAGCTGTCGTGTTGGTGCTAATGTGCAAGGGGACCCGAGCAGAGATGGAGAGACACTGATGAGGCAGGGGCCTGGTTATAGACTTTCCTGGGCATAACCTGGGCACCTGATTCTGTTCTTACACTTGGTGCCTAGAAGTAGAGGTAGTACAAGCATACACCAGGCCCCCAGATCTGGACTCCCAGGGCTCTGCTATGGACTCCCAGGGCTCTGC